TCCCACTCAGCACCTTGGTATTCTCGAAGTTGCCGTTGCCGTCGGCGAATTGGTGACGAAGCTGGCGGGCTTCTTCCAAATTTTTCCTCCGGGACTTTGAAGACCGTAGCAGCGCTGGTCAGCGTGAACCACTTGAGCCCCCTCCAGTTGCATCAGCGCCTGCACCTCTGGCTCCTTGAAGCTCTTTGCCTTGCGTGGGTGTTCGAACAAGAAGTGCTTCCCAGCCATGTGCCTCTCGGTCAGCACCTTGATCGTAAACCGCAGATGCAGTGGGCCAGTCGCCAGGTGTGCCTGTCCTCGCTCCTTGTCCATCCTGCTGTAGTTCCACTCCATCAGGGCGCAGAAAGGACCACATGGGGGCGACCCCGCATCAAGATCGGGATCACGAGCTCGAACATTGGCTAGACACTCCGCACGGTCCTGAGCTCGACTGAAGTCCCATCCAAGCTTGAGGTCATACGCAGTACCTCCCCCACGCCCAGACAATTCAAGCTCCTCGATCACCCTCGGCATTGAGTGCACCTCGGCAACCTTGATCTGATGCTCCCGTCGCATCGCTGCCAGGATATAATGCGGAACGTCCTTCACTTCGTCGTTTAGGAACGTGAAATTGCCCTCCACTACCCAATTCAGCAAGATGAGCTTGCCCTCTAGAGTCACCGGCATTTCCGCGACCCTCCCCACAAAATCCTCGCCCTCCAGCTCCCACCACCTGCTGCCAACCATGTATACGCGATCATGCTGTAACTTCCGAGCCGCCTCGAGCATCTCATCATTGGTCACTAAGAGAATTCCATCACCGTTGAACTCCGTTCCCGCCTGCAAACCCAGCTGGTCCCACCGAGTGAGTCTGCCCGGCATAATCGGGTTGATCTCCTTCAGTCCCCCCCGGACCACCAGCCGCAGTCCTCGCGTTCCATTGCGCCCTCCCCGCGCTTGCGAAACCGCTTCCTCTCTGGTACCGGAAGGTCCACGCCGCCCTGAGTCGAGCTTGCTGGCGCAGAGGAGCTGGCTGCCGTCCGAGTCGGGGTCGCCTGTCGTGGAGCCCCCTGGCAGGATTGCCCCCCCTGCACATGGGCCCCGGCACCCGCTCCCCGAACACCTCCTCCACAGACTCCTCCGTCAGTCGAAGTAGCGCCCTCGACTTGCGGGGCGACATCAGTAGGTGGGCCCGCGGCCCCTTCCCCCACCGGCCCCCGCACTGCGTGCACGTCGCAGCCGCCCGAGCACCGCCCGTGCCCTTGATCTTCTCCGGCGGGTGGAGGCATTCGTTCACCTTCTTCTCGAACTCGCCGCTGGCGGGCCTCAAGGGGTAGCCCAGAACCCATTTCCAATGGAGTCGATTCTCCGGAAGTACCCCCCACTGATGGAACTTGCACTTCTTGTCCACGCAGCGGCGGTAGTAGCGGCCGAAGTTCTCGCTCTCCGGATCCGCGATCACGCGCCTGCGAGCCCCCTGAGGCCTAAGTTGGCCTCCTTCCATAACACGATTGGGGCCCATGCCCTTGCACTTGCAGCAGACCTCCTTCCACTCCGGGTGGTGCGTTCCCGTCTGGAGGATGTCATCTGCCTCGTCCGTGAGCTCACTGAGACCCACGAAATCACCCCGAAGCCCCCCTCCTCCGAACTGTCCCGCCCTGAGAGCGCGCCCGAGCCCAGCGGGTAGAAGAGCCCCATGGGCGGCTGCGCGGACGCCAGTAGCGCCAGATCGGACGACAATCGGACCCATGACTGTCTGGCCGGAGTGCGGGCTCGCTCGAGCGACTCCTGAACCTCGCGTAGATATGAAAGCGCTGGAAGCATCGCTCGTGGGGGCGGGGACCTCACCAGCTTGACTCAAATGGCTATTGAGCGTGAAGTCTGACATCTGATACGGGGCACCCGCTGGCGCGCCCCATCCCTCAGACCGAAACTCCACGATAGAGACTGCAACGTGCCCAGTGTCAACCTCTCCCATAGGGACCTCAGTGTTCGCCTTGCGAAGTGTAATTTTCACGCTTTCGAGATCTACCAGAGCCTTGAACTTCCGAAGGGTCTCGACTGGAAGCAGCATGGGCACGCTCCCTTCTACGACCGTGAGCTCTAGAAGACCGTGAGACCCTCCGATGGCGAACGGCGCGATGACGACTCCTACTGCCTTAGCTCGTCCTCCGACTCCTCGTGCCCGGGCTGGCTTGTTTAACCACTTGTACTTGAGACCTCGTGCCTCCAGAGCCCCACGCAGCTGCTGTGGTGCCTCCGCCCCAATGAGGCCCGACTGGGCCGCCGTATTAACCAGAGCCTCCCCGTCCCCAAGAGTGAGTCCACACCAAACTCCAGGATCCCCGTGCTCTGTCATGCGTCCGCGTTCGAATTCAAGTAGACCTTGCACTCGTTGGAGGCGCCCCAGGCTGCTGGCTCCTCCAGTTCCTTCCGGAAATACCCCAAAGACTTGAGCTCCCCTCTGTAATCATCCAAGACGATCCCGAAGATGATGACCCGAACGAGGCTGACTCGGCCCTCTGGAGGTCCCCCCTGGGCGCTCAGGATGGCGATGATGATGATGCATGTACTGGCGGTCGCACTCCAGAAACTCGTCCTCCGAGGGCGGCTCGTCCGGCTGCACGAGGCCCGTGGCTCCCACGAAGAAGCCGGACTTCGGCTTACCAGCCAGAGCTGCAGAAGCAGCACCGCGAGCATCTGGGGGGTTGCTGCACTCCTTAGCCACTGGCCGACCTGTCCGCACCTAGCGCACTTGGTCCGCAGCTTGAGCTGGTCGATGTGAACTTGAACCTTGCGTCCAGCTCCATCCTTGTAGCGGTTGCTAGCTCCAAACCTGGCCGCCAGCGGAGGAGCTCCATGGCTCTTGTCCTTGCCGTTGCCTTTGCCGCCTTTGCGGAAGCCTCTCTTGTTCTTCTCCTGGCGAAGCGACTCGCGGACTGCCTAGTAGGACGCCAGCGCCGTGGTGACGTCCGCCTCCTCGTGGATTTCCCACAGGTCATCCTCCAGCACGTAGATGTACTCCGGGTTGTCATCTGCCTCGGCGTCCTCCATGATTGGGAAGTGGCCTCCCTCTGGACCGTCAGGCTCCTCGTCATCCCCGTAGAACTGCCTGTCGTGCTTGTCTACATTCATTTTGTCAAGGCGGCGTAGCGCCTTGATCACCTCCGGCTCTGAAAAGCTGCCGGCCGTCCACGTCTTGATCATGTCCTCACCTTTCTCCCTAAGCTTCGCGTGCCTCATCATGATATAGCCTCAAACCTCCGATGGGAGCTGAACACCCTCACGCTTCAACTCATTGAACCTCGCCACTGTCGCCAGGGTGTACTGAAGCATGCTCTGGCCCTTCTCACGACTCGAGCTGTACACCGCCTTCTCGAACGCCCTAGGCATGGTCTGCTCCAGATAGGGAGACAGCGCTTCGTCCAGAACCTCAATGATGTTGTCCAGGCCATCCTCGCCCATGATATCGCCGACGTCCATGTCTGCTATCGCCTCACTCGCAGTGCCGGTCAGGCGCCTGGCCACCTTCGCGCCCCGCTTGGTACTCGGGATATCCGTAGTGGCCTTCCACAGGTCGAGCTCCTTTTTCCACTTTTTGTAGTAGACCTCAGGCTGAGCTCCGTCAAACGACAGAGGTGGATCTCTGTCTCCACCTCCAGCACCTTTTGCGTCGCTGGGTACTCCATCGTCATCATCATCTCCTGGCATCGTCTTGGAGCCGGTGGGTCGTCACCGGCTCCGCTACCACTGTGTAGCTCAGAAATGCTGCACACTTGTTTTACACCACGCCAGGCGCCCCGCCTGGATCCAGCTATCTGTCAGCACTGTCGTCCACAGTGCACACGCGCAGCAGCACGTACAGGAGAGAGGGAGCGAGAGAATATCAGGGTATTATCTGGAGTAGCGGGGAAAGTGACTGGGGGAAAACGGGGTAAGCCAGCCCGAGCACAAAATAGTTTCGGAGGGCAGAAAGGCAGGTACGGATGGGCTGAAGGGAAGCGGGGGCATACACTGAGCACAATAGAATTACAACACACACGTACGCGCATGGGGAAACGGAAGGTCACCGATACCCCGATGCCGCTAAGCACTCCCCAGACCTCTCCCAGGGGTGCGTTCTGACCAGAAACTCGGAGGGAATCCAGCCGTGGCGACGATGCCTCACCATGAAGTGCAGCGGTGTGGGCATCGTTCGTTCCCCTGGCACGCACACACACACACACACATGCACACACACACACACGCACACACGCACACAACACACACACATACAAACACAAACACAAGCACACACACAAACACGCACACACAATAGACACGCACACACATACACACACCTCTCGGACGCACGCAGCTCAGCTGGGGCACCAAGTCGCTCAAAGGATACAACATCCCCTGACACACAAACAAACACACAACCGACCGTCCCTGAGATTCGAGGTCTCGGCAAAACATAAAGCATAATAAAAAATCAAAAGTGGAGCCCTAGACACCACGTTTCTGCATCATGTTTCGAGCCGGATCGAGCTGTGAGAGCCCTGGGGCCCGAATCTGGGCGAAAACGCTCGGTCAAAATCTCTGGGGTTGCGCGGCGGGCAAGGGCCGCGGCGCAACGGCCCCTGGCCTGCGGCCACCGCGTCGCCGCCGCCGGGCTTGTCGGGGGAGCCCGCCGAACTTGTTTTTTTCTGTGTTGCGGCCTTGTTTCAGTCGCAGCGACGGCGAACGCGCACCGCGTCCGTAGCCGAATGCGGTGCAAAAACATGAGGGCGGGCGCGCTACAACAGAAAAACCACAAGAGCGATTTTTGTTCCACGAGGCAACAGCAAAGAAGGGCATGGGGTGAAAAGGTACCCTGCAAGATCGGCCCGTCCGAGCAGGCAAGGGCATCGAGACATGGGGCAACCAGGCTCACACGCATTGGTGCAAGCGATCTCTGGAAAGGCCCCTTCTCCTCCTCCTCCTGCTCCTGCTCCTGCTCCTGCTCCTGCTCCTGCTCCCCCTCCTCCTCCTCCTCCTCCTCAGCATCCCCTAACACTGACTTTATTGTACAACCCAGCGGCCTGCGGGCGGCAGACCTCGACCCAGGCCGAAAGGATCGCGCAAGGCCGCAACGCTGAAGATGGAGGGAGAAGAAACGCTGCAGAAGGAGGGAGAAGAACCGCTGCAGAGGGAGGGAAAAGAAGGAACTCATCCTCTTGCTCCTCCTCCTCCTCCTCCTCCACCTCTTCCTCCTTCTTTCTCCTCCTGCTCGACAGCGCCCGGCGGGACGAGGGCCAGGTGCTGCCCACACCAAGAGCGCTCGTTGGCGAAAGGACATGCGGTTCTGAGTCGGGTTCCATACTTTGTGGCGCTCGGTCTTGCACAATTTGGATATCGCGCTAAGGTTGTGGTTCGCTCGCTCGCCCGTCTTCCCACTTCTCCCAACACCACCCTCCTCCCACCCGAAGGTTATGCCCTCCTTTTCCTTTCCCTCCTCCATCCCTGCTCCTTCTAAATAATTTTCCCCTGTCGCACCCCGAGGCCGGTCGAAAGGGCGGGCAGGGCGTTTCGCCTGACTTCCTCACCAATGATGACCCTGAAGCTTACAGTTGCGCAGCAGCTTCACTGATGGAGGGCGGGTCGTTTTCAAAATGTGGCTCTCGCCTGAGCGCCGCGCGAGCTCGCTGTAAAAATCACAAGTGTTTCAAGGATGGAGGGCGGTTCACAATGTGGCTCTCGCCTTAGCGCCGCGCGCATTCGTCCTAAATAAACGCACGGTCGTATCAAACATCTGCAAAGATTCGCGGATTGAGGGCGGGTCGTTTTCAAAATGTGGTTCCCGTTTCAGCGCGGCGCACACTTGTTTCAGTCGTTGCAAGAGCTTCGTGGGTTCCCACTGCGAACGTGCCAACAATTCTGTTTTGGAAAGATTCAAGAGTTTGAAGGGGGCTGGGAGGCCCAGCCAGCAGCTTCGCCTCAGGCGAAGCCAAGCTCCCGCTCTGTTGTACCGTAGTAACGATAGTCCCAGTATGAGAAGATGTCCCATCTCAAGCAGTAGGAGGATCCTTTTGGTCTCGATAGCGATTGTGTGCCTCGCAGTGAGGCACAATCAGATTTGGGCGGCCGGCCGATTGAGCCGACGCGGCCGCGGGCGCACGCTCGCTTCCACTCCTGCAGTCCCTCATAATCTACGCGCCCACCTTAGCTACTAGACTAGGTCCGAGGGACCAAAAGCATTGTTTTTTGCTGGTTGGAGTGAACGTAAGGTTTAAGGTGAGAGAGAGCGGGTTTCCATAGGGAACAACATTGGGGCGGCTGGAGCCGCTCTCCCCCAAGGAGGGATGCATCCCCTTGACGGGAGGCCGACCGACCGAGGGGCGATGCATCCCTCTGGCCGATCCCCCCCCTTGTAACAGAGGGGAAATGCCTCCCTCATGCGCGACCAACCACGGAGGGGAGATGCATCCCTCATGCGCGAAGTGTCGCGCTCGAGGCTTCGTCGCTTCGCTTACCCTCTTGGCCCCCCCCCCAGCTTGCTGAATGCAAACCCAGGGCGGGAGGGTGGGAAAAATCAAATCGCAAGGTGAGCGCGGCCACCGCGGCCCGTCGCCCCCCCTTCCTCGCAGCCCCTCGGCGCGGGCAGCGAAGGGGGGGGCGCCCCCCCCCTCTCTTCGCCCCTGCGCCCCGAGCTGCATGCGCGGGCGACGTTTCCAAGGTGTCCGCGCGCGTACATTATGAAGCACTCGCCCATGCCTGCCCGGGCCTAAAGTGCACCCATAATCTACGCGCCCACCTTAGCTACTAGACTAGGTCCGAGTGACCAAAAGCATTGTTTTTTGCTGGTTGGAGTGAACGCAAGGTTTAAGGTGAGAGAGAGCGGGTTTCCATAGGGAACAACATTGGGGCGGCTGGAGCCGCTCTCCCCCAAGGAGGGACGCATCCCCTCGACGGGAGGCCGACCGACCGAGGGGCGATGCATCCCTCTGGCCGATCCCCCCAACGCTGCTCACCCCCACGCCCCGCTCGCTCACCCAACGCTGTTCACTTACCGAGCAACACAATGTATAACGGCGCGTCGCAGCCACACGTGGGGGCTACCCGCGGGCGAAGCGCCATGCGCTCTCCAAGCTGCCCGTCCAAATACGACTGTCCACGCCGATTCGCTTTGCTGGAAATCGATGTCGCCTCACAAACGCGTCACTTCCTAGCTGCCTCGAAATCCCGTCCGACCAATTGGTCCCCGAAGGCGTGAATTCCCACCACGTGGTGATCGAACGGCGGCTCGCCAAGAAATTAGTGAAAGCAATCGACCGATCCAGCGCGGCCGGCACCGCGCAGCCCTTGACGTACGAATGCAGAGAGCTGGTATTGTCTATGAAATACAGCACGCGGCGGTTTGCCAGCCGCTTAGCGTGGCGCTGGTAGATGATGGGCGGCATCGCGCCCTCACACAGCGCGATGGGCTGGCCGCCCTGCCTCAAGCGCTCCTCACAGTAGCCCCACATGCCCAGCAGAGCCCCGTCAAAAACGCAGAAGCCAGCTTGCCGATAGCCGTCGGCGCAATCTAACAACACGTACCCCCCTGTCGGCCACGCGTCATTGTCAGCGCGCGCGTCAGAAGCAATGAGAATCAAAGGCTCGCTTCTCGGCGCGATCTCGGCCACGCGGCTCGGCATGTCTTGCAGAATTATATAAAAGAAATCGAGGGCGCGCACCAGGCAGTTGCTCAGGGTCCAAGGCGGCTGATCTGTGTACTGCCGTTGCCTCAGAGCCCCCATGCCTGCTTTGCCCACGCCGTGCCACGCCGCTCTGGCGATGAAGTTGAGGAGGCCTCTCAACTTGCTGGCGTCTCCGGGCGTGAGCCTGCCCTCGCTGCGCCTCGCCGCAATGAACGTCTTCGCCTTTTCGACGAGAGTGTCGCGCGCCCTGAAAGATATGACATTCGAGTCCAGCGAAGGGCCGAAGGTGTGCACGACGCCCAGAAAATCGCCGGACGGGCTCATCCTCCTCGTCTTCGAGGGAGCCACAGGCGTGCCCAACTCCGCGCAAAGGCACTGTGCGGCCTCCTGACCAGCGCCCCCAGCTGATTCAAAATCAGTAATATTCGCGTCGTCCACATACATGGCAAGCAAAAGCGACAACACGCGGCGCTGCACTGCCTGCAGGAATCCTCCCCATCGCGCGAACTGCATGACTGACGCGGAGAAACCGAAAAGCAACGCCCACGCCACCTGGAACCTCCATTCTCCCGTGACAGGATCGCGGACCGCCACGACGTTCAAGCGCAAGTGATCTGGGTGCACTGGGACTGAGCGATAGGCCGACGGCAAATCTTCGCCCCCCGACACGAGCCTCTCGCGGGCCACGTCGGCACCAGCGTCCGCACACGCTTGCCGGACCACCCTCGCATCGATGACAGGCTGGAATGGCGTACACATTCTTTGCCGCTCACAAAATGCCGTCGCTTCGTTCTGCCTACCCCGACGCCCGTCGTCGATTCTCCTCCTTTTTCCAGAAGGCTGAATATGGCAAAACGCAGGAATCGGCGCCCACTGCCCCGCGCCGAACTCCGCATCAATGTCCGACTTGCTTCGCAGCGGTGCCGCCCAGCCTTTCTTGCACTCTTCCTCGCAGCTATCCCAGAGAAATTGGCCCTCCTCACTCGCGCGCTGGCGATCCAGTTCCGCCAGCAAGACTTTGGACTCTCCAAGCAGCGAGTGCACGGGCATGGGAGCTTCATACTCGGATGGTTCAAAAGCACCCGTATTCTCCATTACGCCAGTGATGCCAAAGCCGGTGACAAAGCGCAACGCCAGCTTTTGGTCTGGCCACCGCGCGAGCACCACCAGCACGGCAATGAGTCCGGCGTGAATATGCCCCGCCACGGCGCGCACAGTCGGACTCTGCCACTTCAAGAGCTCCGCCGTGAGGGGCTTGCACCGGCGACTAAGCTCTTGCAGCGCGTGCATGCTGCGCAACCGAAACTCCCTCAAGTCGCGCAGCTCTGCGGCGGTGGACTCCGCCGCAAATTTCAAGTCATGCGGAGCAGCAACGTCCTCATCGAACGGTAACTTCCCCCGCTTCGCGAAATCAACCGCGGCGCGGAAATGCTCTTCCTCATCCCGGCTGTGGCCCAGGAGAGGCGGCAACGCGTGCTTGGCCGAGAGCGCCCCGGCCTGTCGCCCCGCCGCGGCTTCCAGCATGGCAGACGTGCCCTGGCCTGCCGTGCTGCCAACTGGTCCAGCGATGCTGCGCTCGTCTAGCCACTTTGCGAAATCCACGAACGGCGACTGATTGACTAGATCTTCCAATGACGGAAAAACAAAACTGCTCAGCCATTCCCTGGGGAACATGCTGACGACGCACTGCCGCAATTGGCGCTGCGACCACATCACGGGGAAGTGCCTCGATACCCGCGGCGCCTGCGCAAACGAAGACGCGCCGTCGCTCGGCGCCCCGCGCTGATGCGCTCGCGCCTGCGGTGCCGACACATCGGACTCCTGCTCGCCCGATGACTGCGCTGATTGCGCCTGGCCGAGAACGCGCGCTTGCTGCGCGCGGAAACCTGGCTGGGCGCTGGGTGCGCCCGCCTGCGCTGGCGCAAAGAAGCCGTGCTCCGCTGGACAGGCAACGTGCCCCCCTGCCTCGGCGCTGTCCTCCGCCCTGGCGGGGCCCCTTCAATACTGCGACAACGCGCCCTGCTCCGGGATCGGCGCCTTGCGGCACACGGCGGCGCAGTGATTCCTCATGCCGCAGACGCGGCCGCTCTTGCTCACGATCATGGAGCATGCGTGCTCCAGATTCTTCGGGCAGGGCTCCGGGCACGACCCCCGATTGAAATTCTTGCACAGCTCCTTTCCGTTCTTGAGGTGGGTCGCCAAACCGGTGCTCGATCCCTTCTGCGCGCCCTTGGGGTTGCGCTGCCCGCGCCCTGCACCCGCGCCTCCCTGCTGCGCCGCAGGTGGCGGCGGGGCGCCCCGCGGGGCTCCGCGCGCGAAGTCCGCGGCAGGCCGCGCGTCGGGGGCTGGTGCGAAGCCGCGTGCGGGGATCTCCCACATGTGCTCCCTCCTTTCGAAGACATCCTTGATGATCTTTCCCAGCGACATGGACGTGCGGCGATGCCTGCACGCCGGTGGAACGTTCGCGACACTAGCCCCTCG